TTTTGATAGCCGGGCACCATCAGCTTTCTTCACCACATTTGCTTATTCACCCGCTTTGTCTTCGGCGGTTGTGTCGGGGAGGAGCTTCATCTTTTTGCCAGACCCTAAATTAATACTCAGAAAACATATATATTCATTATGTGGTAGTAGTCTCTCTGTACCTAAGAAAAAATGTAAGCACATTTTCTATAATCCAAACATATACTCTTTTAAAGAAATCCATTGCACAGATATATGTTTTCACTGAAAATTGGGGTTATAGCCCATGGATAGGTTTTACCATAGGACTACTAGGATTAAAAGGACTACTCCAAGGGAAATGGCCTCTATCTGCATTATCTAGACAGTCATGGGCTCCTGGTAGTAGCCTTGCAAGGAACCACTGAAGAAGGCATGAGTATTCAGTGATTTTAGCTCTATGTTTTCATGTTGAATATCCTGAGTACTCGGTGCCGGATCTGTCGAGTCTTCACCCCATAGACAAGAGGATTTAGTGCAGGTGGCACAAGGAGGTAAAGTGTGGCCAAAAGAACATGGATGTGATGAGGTACATGCTGGCCAAAGCGGTGAGTGAGAAAGGAGAACATTCCGGGAACATAGAAGATCAGAATAACACAAACATGAGATCCACATGTACTAAAGGCCTTAAGTCGGGCCTCGCCCCCTGGTACCTTTAAAACTGCATGAAGGATGAGAGCGTAGGAAACACCGATGGCCAGAACATCTAGTCCAACAACAAGCAGTGCCACTGCCAGCCCATAGGCTCGGTTCACTGTAGTGTCTGAGCAGGCAAGTTTTACCACAGCCATATGTTCACAGTAAGCATGGCCTATCGTGGTTGATGCACAGAAGATGAGGCGATGCAGTAAGATGGGGAAAGGGGTGAGAAGGAGTAATCCTCGCACCAGCACTGCCACGCCAATGCGCCCTATGACTTCTGGATGCAAGATAGTGGAATGGTGCAGAGGGTAACAAATGGCGACATAGCGATCTAGAGCCATGGCCACAAGCACACCTGACTCCATGGAGGAGAATGCGTGGATGAAGAACATCTGGATTAAACATACCATATGCCCAATACCATGGGCATGAACCAGGAGGACTGCAAGGGCTTTGGGTGCGGTGGAAGAAGCCAGGACCAGGTCAATGGCAGCAAGCATGGCCAAAAAGAGGTACATGGGTTGGTGCAGGGATGGGTCAGTCCAGATGATGAAGAGAATGGTGATATTGCCCACTAGAGCAAGAACAAAAAGGACACCCAGGGGCAATGCTATCCAATGCTGGCATTCCTCCAAACCTGGAATGCCTACAAGGAAAAAGGAGGGCTGAGCTAGCCTTAAGCTAGAATTGCTAAGGGCCATCATCAATGACTTCAAAAAAAGAAAATAGAAGCAAACATCATACTGTCTTCATTCCCAGTGAGTTTTCACATGGTCTACAGGGGAGTGTCTTCTTCTCGAGATGAATAAATAGGCTTAAGCTGCAATACAGGAAATTAAATTAGACACAAGAAAGAATTTCCTTTTACTGAGATAATTTTCTAGTGAGTAATATTTTCTGAAGTATGCTAAATCCCATTTTATCTAGATTTAAAAGTAAGTTTATTGCTTCCTTTTGACACATAGTTAAACTCTAACATGCAATTACTTATTTATTAAAACTGTTATGTGGGTCCCTTTCATTGACCTCTTGGTATTTCTGAACACTATGAAAAATGTGTTTTACAATTTCTCTTTTTAATTTCCATGACATAGCACTTTACAACTGTCCTTTCTACAATTGTCCTTTCAATCTTAGTCCCTTTGGATTCTTTTCGATTTCCCTTTTATTAATTATCTATTATAAGGTTCTATCCAGTCTTTTCTTCCCGAATCTGTACATTACCTCTGACTAAGTTCATTCATTCCTATAGCTTTAATTATTTTAATATTTTCATTTGTTCCCAATTTTTTATCATAAATCAAAGATCTTGCTCAAATACAAGTCCAACTTTTCATTTGCCATTTATATTACTCCTATACCATGCACTCAACATATTCAAAGCTGGATTAACACCTATTATCCCCAAATCTTTTCTAAATTCTTTTTCCTAATTTATGTGAACTATATCACTAGATACCTACCGAATAGAATCCAGAACCCTGGAAATTATCCTTACTCATGCTTATCTCTCATCCCTCTTACCCATTTACCAATTCCAGCTGACTTACTCTTTTTTAACTTGACAACAATGGGTTATATGCATTTCTTTCTTTTAACACCAATGAAGCTTCCTTAGTTTTAACACTCTGAACTTACCTCAAATGTATGGTTTCTTTGATCTCTCTATTTTGCTTTTAACCTCTTTCCAATTCATTTTCCACCTGAAGTCAGAGTTTTCCAAAGACATAGATGTCACCGTGTGACTCCTTTTGTTAAAATACCAGTGACTTCATATTTTAGAATAAAGTCATACTTTGAAGACTAACATAAAAGTGTGTTTGCAGAGGCAATCCTGTGTGCTGTTTCATACTTCACCTAGTCCTCATGTTTTGTACTTCACATGTGTAGGTTTTGCTTTAGTCATTCTAATATGCTGAGGTTTCGGGATAGTCTTTCTTCCTCCTCCTTTATCTGAGTTGACACTTCTCATTCTTCCAAACTCAGAGTCCACTGTCTCCTGCCTCTCTGCAGAATTCACTGACTGAATTAGTACCACACTGATTGCATAAGCAGTCCTTCCTTCATCCACAACTTCAAACTGGACCTCAATTACAAGAATCCTATCAGTCTTCTAGTAGTTTGTGAAGAAATGGCTGCATATCATGCAACTCTATAGTTAAGGGTTAGTATGGTGGAGGATGCACATTATAGTAGGAAAAACATGTTATAGAGTCAGCAGACTTGGGTTTAAATTCATATTCTAGGAATGAATCTTTGTTAGACTACTTTAACTGAATCCTGATTTCCTCAAATAGTAGTAGGATAAAATACACTGTCCTTACTGGTTTATTATGAAGATTAATTCGGATATCACTTGTGAAGTACTGCCAGAGAGGTCAATCTATAAGTTATGCTTGGTGATAGTTGCCATTGAGTCGACTCCTTGTTTAGATACATAGACACAACAGGAGGAAGCACTGCCCCGTCCTGCAACCAGCCTGAAAACTGGTATCATATTTGAGCGCATTGTGACCACTGTATAAAACCATGTCCTAAGGGTCTTCCTCTTTTTCACTGACACTATACTTTAGCAAACACAATGTCCTGTTTCAAGAACTAGTCTTTCTAGTGCAAAGTACAGGAGATGAAGTCTTGCGATCCTCACCTCTAAGGAGCATTCTGACCACACTTCTTCCAAGATAGATTTTTTTATTCTTCTGGAAGTCCATAGTACTTTCAAAATTCATCAACAACACCATAATTCAAAGGCATGAATCATTATTTTAGCTTCCTTATTCATAGTGCAGTGTACACTTTCATATGAGGCAACTGAAAAATACCATGACTTGAACCAGACACACCTTATTCCTCAAAGTAGCCTCATTTTACTTTAACACTCTAAAGAGGTTTTGTGTAAGTGAATTGCCCAACACAATACACCTTTTGATTTCTTGAGTCCTGCTTTTATGAGCATTGATTGTGGATCCAAGTAAAATGAAATCCTTGTTCATCTTTTTTCTGCTTGTCATTATGTTGCCTACTGGTCCAGTTGTTTCCTTTACAATGAGTTTAACCCATATTGAAAGATGCAGTCTCTAATCTTCATCAGCAAGTAATTCAAGTTCTCTTCCCTTTCAGCAAGCAAGTTTGTGTCATCTGAATATTGAAGGTTATTAATGAGCCTTCCTTCAATCTTAATGCGGGTTATTCTTCTTATAGTTCAGTTTCTTGCATTATTTTCAGTAAAGTTCAGCATGCACACTTCAGAAGTGTGGCAAAAAGATCCAACCCTCAGTGCAAACCTTTCCTGATTTTAAACCATGCAGTATCCCATTTTTCTGTTCAAAGGTCTGCCTCTTGGTCTGTGTCCGGGTTCTGTATGAGAACAATGAAGGGTTTTGGAAGTCCCATTAATTGCGTCCTATAGTCTGTCATGATCCACGTAGCTGAAAAATCTCATATTTAAAATATCTCTGAGTATGAGCTCATGGGCCTCTTGTTTTACCTTTGTCCTTATGACATTGTTTCTCATTTTCAAGTTTTTGCTATGGCTACATCTTACCATGATGTTATTAAAATTCATAAAGTCACATCAACATAAAGAGATAAAGTAAAGAGCTGGTCTGCTTCACTTTCTTCACACAATCCATTCCTAGATAACTAAGACAAAAAGCTTGAAACTACATGCTTACATATGTACACTTGTGCTGAGATATATATAGTCCAAACTAAATATATTTTCCATGAAAATGTGCAGTGGGTATGTAAAGATAAAAAGAATTGAGAATGCCTCGGTTTTTATGGATAACATCCAAAGTATAAAACCATTCAAAGTATTTGTTTCATAAAACAGTGATGACAAATATTTACTAAATACTTTGAAGACAACAGATGTAATATCTGAAATATTACTTGGCGATTGACGTCTAGACACAAATCCACTGATAAACTGAAGTGACTGTGATATATTTTTATTGACACCTCAACATTCTCATACTATTAATAAATGTCACATTCCAGTGCTTAACACCCTTAATATTGAGAAAGCTGATTATCTTTATTAATTAGCCTTTGGCTGAGCAGCTGGAGAATGGCTGTCTGCTTAATGAAGGCCACCCACGATTGTAATAAGAGCAGCTACACTGCAGCAGTGTCAGAGAGAGGCACGGGCATGTATACCTGAGTTTAACTAGTTCTTCTTTGTGCTAATTGGTTTCTGAGTCCACAGGCAAACTTTTCATTGGCTTGTGAGGTGTTAATTATTAAAATAAACAAGAGAACCTTCTGTGATTATTTGAGGGACCTTATTTCTTAAAACTTAAATGTGAAAATGTATTTAACTATCCAGCCAGGAAGCAAAGAACAAATAGCAAATAACTAATACTGTCTACTCCTACTTATTCATGTAAATTCAATACAAAAGACTTGTTGTCTGTAAATTTGTCCTTCAATTGTCCAAGGTAGCATGACATAGCTCTTCTTATTTCTCACTATGGCACTTTCAATTGCTCTGTGACTGCATCAAATACCTTGAGCTGTAAAACCTGTCAATGTGTCGAAGAGCAGACACCATGCCTTGAATATCACCATAGTCCCAGATAAGGTGCAACAAGTTCCTGGGTTGATATTCATAAATGTTTACTGAATAAATAAACTATGATGATTAAATTTAAAAATAAATAAATGAATCGTTGAATATCCTAAATGAGCCAAGAGTTAGGAGTGCTTGACAAGCCAGAGACTGGCTTGAGGGTGTAGGACTGTTTTAGCAGATGGTGAGGTGTCTATAAAAGAAACTTTGCTCTGAGCCTCCGTATTCCTCACCCAGTGCTACTCTGGCAGGAAAATCGCTGGAATCTCTCTGCTGTTAAGAAGCTATGACAGAGCCATAAGCAGGTCTCCCTCCTGTTCACTTCTACCACTGCCACTAACAACCATGTCTGTCTCTCTTGCTAACCCCCTTCATAGGGTCCCAGACTCTAGAGAGTAGTTAAAAATGGAGGCTCTGGGGTATAAAAAGAGAGAAACTAGGAGCATGAACGAAAATGACCTAGTAAAAGTGGGAGCAACAGAAAAGAAAACACACACTGAAGCACCTTAGGTGACAATCTGACACTCCAACAATAAAATATGCCTGGTACAGGGCAATTCTCTCTGCTCTCTGGGCTGTCTCTGAGATGGGCATTCTTTAAAGTCCTGTGTCAGCCATGAGTGGGACTCAGCAACACAGAAGTAAAGTTGGAAGAGAAGAAAGTTACACAATGGCCCTTGCTGCTCTGAGGAGCACCCTCAGTCCCCAGTTCAACCTCCAGGGGCTTCTGTCCTAACTTATGAATAACACTGAATGAAACGATTTTTATTCAGAAGGACTGTGCAGCAGTCTCTGAACGTCACAGGAAGTCAAGCACATTACCTCAGGTCTGTGCAAAAGTTCGGCAAACATATGGAGCATGAGTACTGGCACAGGCAAGATTTGTGGAAAAGAGACGAATATATGTACATGTGTCATATGTCATAGTGAAAATGTCATTTAGGACCATGCTCCTGCAAGTATCCCAAGATGCTTGTGAATGTTAATGTGAATGTTCAATGTAGGTGTCTACAGTCTCACTGGGAACTTGGCAACAGTGCATGCTCTGAAGGTAGACACCAAGACAAATGAAGTAGGAAAGATTAATGTTAAATAAACAAGCCTGGAGAGACCAGAGTAAAGGGGAAACTA